AACAAGGGACAGCAGCCCTCTTGTTTCCCACTGCTCCCTCATGAATATGAGAAGAAATCTGGAGCCAAGCATCTGGGCTCCACACAAGCTCCAAAGCTTCTTGGCTATGAGCTTAACCTGCCAGGGATGCAGCCAAGGCAAAATCAGCTCAGCCTTGCGTTCCCAAACGGAGCAGTGGTGTGAAATAGTCATCCTGGAAAAGCAGCCCTGTCTGAGTCATGCCAGGGGGGCGGGAGGAGGGCTGTTTTTAACTCTTGTGCCTAATGATGCTGTTTTATGCTACAAGCTGTCAAATAGCTCTCCAATGCGTAGATTGGCTAAGTGAATGTGGAATAAGAAATGGCTCTCACCGAGCTCTGCTACAAGTGCAGCATTTGTGCTGGCAGGAGAGTCGCCGCAGAGCAATTTCTCTGAAAGTTCCAGCACTTCAGCTAATTCCTAGCATTATCTCGGGGAGACACTGAGCCACGCGGGTTTCCTTGAGAAGCATTAGCCCAAGGTTTGCATTTTTCCTGTGCTGGAAAGAGATTCATCTCCATAAATCAGAGCCATTCCTTTCGCATGCCCAGGTAATCAGCAGCAGCCATCTGGTTGTGTCCACTGGTGGTGGGAGGGAGGACCTCGCTTTGGTTTGTAGTAGAAGTGTCCAAATTCTGCAGCTTCCCGGGACAGCTCAGGATTTACAAGGGTGATTCCAGCAAGTGCTATGGGACCAGTGGGTGCATCAGGGGCTGCTGAGCCACAAGGCAAGTGGTGCTTTACTTCTGTAAGGACAAACATGTAAGGACATGTCAGAAACCAAGCAGAACCTCATCTGTCATGGTTGATACTCAGTCCTCCTGGATCCTTGACGTCCTGGCTCTGGCAGGAGCAGAAAGCACCACGTACTCTTTGGACGTCTTCTCCAGACTCATCAGTGCCCAGTGCAGGGAGCATATCCTGATGCACCCACCTCTCCAGTTGCATTTCTGCATATCAAGGCATCCATATAGGATCCTAGGCTGAGAAATCATAAAGACCAACTTAGGGCGGACTATACACCGGGAGCATTAGGTGGATGGGTAGCAGGATGCATGGGTGGAAAGAAGAAGGATCTTCCTCTCTCCCCCATTTTAACACCATAGAGATTAGGTTGTCTTATCTCTACACCAATTACATGGCCACCTCCTTCAGAGCTGTGGTGACTCCTCCACTCCTTTGAAGGCTGCCTGGCTATCCTGAAAGGAGCAGGTGCCCCCAGGTGATGTACCAAGCCCAGATGCAGCAGGATTAATTGGCCAAGCAGGGCAGAGGGTGAGAGTGCAGACCACGAAGCCCCACGGCTGGTGGCACTGATCCCCATGCAGACCATGCCCCACGACAGCAATTGCGAAGGCCTGTCCACGCTCCTGCGTGATGTATGTGAAGGAGTCAACACCACCCTAGCCCAGGAGGGTGGCCATGTCCTCCTGCCCACCCTGCTACCCTTCCTCTGGGAAAAAAAAAGGAAAAAGAGAGAAATCCTGGTGATGTGCAAATCCGCTGCCCAGAGACTGGTCCCAGCTGCCTCTGTTTCCAGGTCAGTTTAAGTTTTATTGGTCTTTGCGCTTTGTCTAGCGCTGCAGGAGCTGCCTGCCTTGTGGTGCTACAACAAAGCATTTGGTTGCACAACCAGGGATGCGTGAGTTCCTGGGAACCAGCACGACGTGGGAAATGCAGCCCCAGGCTGCCGAGGAGCCCGGCGCGGGGGCGAGCGCAGGGCCCCGCGGCGCCCGCTCTCACGGCCCGACTTGCAGTGACAAGGCTGCCAGACACGGGCTGATCAGCACCTTTTTTTTTTCCCAGCATCTGCACGCTTTGGAGCCACAAAGGCCCGGCAGAGTCCACGTCTGCCCCTGTAACTCTGTGAACTGTTGGGCTGGTTTGGTGAGGAGATGAGGGCAATGTGCTTGGGGCACGGCAGTGTCAGTGCAACCATGAGCCCATCCCCTCCGTGGAGTTTTGACAATGTTGCTGAGCTTCACCCAGAGCCATGGAGGTCTCGAGACTCCCAGATGTGGGAAATCAGGGGCGCTGGGCAGGGGAGGGAGACACAGTGAGCCAACCCAGCCCCTCAGCTGATGCCACAGCCCAGGTCCTGCCTGCTCACCTGCAGCCCTAGCAGCGTGGAGAGCCTCCCGGCTGCTCTGTGTCCTGGCCACTCTGGGCACCAAGGCCAGACAGCGCGGGACGGCCTAGGCCGGTGACACTCTAGGGACCGGGCCCTGTTGCATCCGAAAGGGAAAGACTAGGACAGCACCTGCCCCGAGCGGTTTCCTCCCTTGGGACGTGCACGGCTGTTGATAGAGGGACTCCAGGAGAACTCCAGCTCTATTCAACACCCATCACCTATTTACTAGCTGGTAGGACAACGAGAGGCAGAGCCTTGGGAGCGTTCAGTCTTGGAGCAGGGTTCCCAAGGCAGCCCATGGGAGCCTCGGGTTCCCCCCCAGCAGCCGTCCCCTTCCAAAACGGGCTCTTCTCTCATACTTTTCCTGTCCTCATGCTTTACTCCCTGCCTCCACAGGGGCTGCTGTTCCCCACGGCCCTGGGAACTGGAAGTTTGGTGCTTTCAGCTGAGCCATGGCAGGAGGCTCCATTCTTTGAAATTCATCATGGAATCTTTTATTTATTTACTTATTTATTTACTTATTTATTTATTCCTAGAAAATAGAAAAAAAGACTCCAATTTTCAGAGCTTCCTAACTTCACTGCAGCTGGCACAGGCTGTCAGCGCTGAAAAGAAACAGCTTTGAGCACAGGAAAGGATTCTTGAATAGGCCGGGTCTGTCTGGTTGCCACTTTTCCTCAGCCTGCTGTTTTGGAGGTCTTCTTGCTCAAGCTACTGGGCTCGTGGCAGGCCTGTTGGTTCACAGCCTGTAGGTCTACTTTATGAGCCCCCGTTTTTGCCAGGATTATCCTTTTCCAGCAGCTGCTCACACAGCTCCCCCCAGCAGACACACAAGGGCAGGTAGTGGAGAACCAAGGCAATGGGCGATGAGGGTGGATGGGATCTCCAGCCCTGGAGATCAAAGCTCACATCGCCGTCCCCAGTGCTGGATCTCACGCCGCTTTCCTAATCCATCTGCCCGGATTTATGCCCATGACCAGGGCAGTGCAAGGGGTCCGGGTCCTTGAGCAGCCTCCTTGTCTGCAGTTGCTTCTCCCATGGAGAAGTCATCACCTTCTTATCAGGTAACCATCACTGTTCCCCAGGCCAAATCAAAGCCCAGAACGGCCTGTTTTAGCCAATGATGCTCTCAATGATACAACAGAAAAGGCCTTTGGAGCGCTGGCGCTCCAGTACATTTCCTTTGCTTGCTGGAATTTCCGTTCCTTTCTTCCTCTCCCAGGCTCTCACTGGAAGAAGAACAAAACGGGGTCACCACCACATGTATCCCCTCAACAGGGCCGGGAAACGCGCTCTCCTGGTCCAGGATTTGTGTGCTGGGCATTCGGAGGGAGCGAGTTCCCTCCCTGGGGTGTCAGGTTGGGCTCAGCCATTCATTAATCACCAAGGACCGCTCTGCCAATCAGCCAAAGATTTACAAGGCGGCCAGGAAGCTCTTGTTTTTACAGGAGTGTCTCAAACACACGCACACAGTAGGAAAAGCAAACATTCCAGGCATACCAAGGGATCCACGGGATAAAAATTCCCCAAACAGCCGAGATTAAGAGACTTGCGGCACATGGAAACACTAAAACCTGAGCTGAAGGATTTAATTGTCTTCTGCAGCGGACAGCCCTGACCACTGCGTGGAACAACCTGAACTGCATGGGAAAAGCCACTCTGGAGGGGCAGGGAGGGGGTCACCGCCACCGTGCCCTTCACACAATAAAGGTCAGGGCTGGCCCCCACCCCTCTCCTTGCTCCATATGGTCACCAGAGCCTTCTGGCAGCGGTTAATAGGAGTTTTCCTTTGGAAACGCTCGGCCTGGCGCCTCAGCGAGGCAGGCGGGGGTCACCGGTCGAGTCAACGCAGCGGCGGCTCCAAGCCCTTCCGAGCGGGAGCGGGTGCTGTTCCAGCTCCGCACTGAGACCCCGAGTCTGAGGGTCCGCATCCTCGCTCCATCCAGCTGATAAAGCCACTGGGAACCCTCCCGTCCTCCCCGGTGCTGCCATCCCGACCCTGGAGACGCAGCCGCTCTCCGGCCGCCAAGATCCCCCTGCGGCCAAGCAGCAGCAGGGCTGGCCAGAAGCAGAGCTGGGCCAGCCAAAGCACACCAGATCCCATCGATCCCTATGCTATTCCTACGGAATAACCCACCTAGCGGAGACCCCCTCCACCCTCGCTGGTGGTTCCCCAGGTGTTGACCTTTGATGAGCCAGACAGCAGCAATATTTTTCATGCAGGAGTTTGCAAAGGAACTGGGGAAAGTTGGGAGGGAAGTAGCACTTGCACTTAGCTTGTTTGGTTTCTTTTAAAAGACGTCCAAATTACGTTCTTCCCCTTTCTCTTACCCGCTTTTGACCTTCCTCTGTTCAATAGGAAGCAACTATTCAACAGAGCTCACTTTTCCATCTGCATTTTCCAGAACTTGTACCTTTTTCTCAAATTATTTGCGTGACTAATTTATAATAACGCAGTAAGTCCTGACTTTGCATCGTGCGATAGGCCAATCCGGATGTCAGGAAAAGCTTTGAATCTCTCTTGGAAAAGAAGAGGAGGACACACTGCAGGACAGCAGTTAGAAGGCTCCGAAGTCTGGGGAAACTGAAAAAAAATCTCCTTTCTTAAAGAATCAGTTGCCTCCTAAAAGCTCCTTTTGATCTTTGTGCAAGTCACCACTCTGAAGATGGAATTTGACCTCTTTTGGTTACATATAACTTGCCCATATTTTTGCTCCTACTCTGGCTACCAGTCCTCAGTGGAAGCTCCAGCTCCCACTCCCAGATGGAGTTTCTGAAGAGCTGGGAAAGGAACCAATGTGGAAATAAGCCCTTGTGTTAGCGACAAGAAGGTACTTGGGATCATCGCAGAATGAAGGGCTTCCTTGCTTGCTCAGTCAGCAGCCTGCCGAGCACCGGGCGGATACGGATCACCCTGCGTGCCCGCTCCGAATCCCAGCTCGTCCTCACACGTGACACTGCCTGCCCGTCCCCAAACCAGCCTGCTGCTCCCCTCCCGCAGCCATAAAATTCATGGAGCTCCCTGGGTGCAGGAGTACGACCTGAATTATCGAGAGTTTGCATCTCGCTTAAATCATCCTCTTACAGTTTCCTTGTTCTCCTCCCTTTCCTGCCTCCATGTATCACAGGCCAATGGCAGCAGAAGCTCAGGAGACCTTTTGCCAGCTAGCTCATGGCTTGGGTATGAATGTGTCCTTTGGAACTGTGTTTTGTCCTGGATAAACACGTTCCTTCTTCTGCGACTGCGGGTGCCGGTGCCGCGGCCTCGCTGCTGGGCTGCGCCGTGTTCCCCGCCAGCTTTCCTGCTCGGATCCGCTTTACACGGAGTGGGAGCTCCCTAACATGGTCGTCGCTTTGTTGTCCCGCCTGCCAGCGTTTTACCTGTGTGAATCCAAATCTGGATTTCGTGGTCGCAAAGCTTAGCACGTGTTGAAACACACTGCAGGCTCTGCCCTTGGCGGGACTGCACCCCGCGAGGGCAGTTGTGAGAAACAACTGTATGAAAGCGGCGAATCCTTCCCTTGCTTTGGAAACGGTACATTCAGACACATTGCACATTTTAACGAGAACACTCAGTTTTGATTTAGGTTTTTTTGGTTAATTCTTGCTCCCTGCCAAGCCAGTACAGCTGCAATAGGATGGGCTGGGGCTGAGTCTTTCCCAGGCTTCAAGCCTGGGTAGTTTCCTAAGCCACGGAGGGGACAAGGGTGGCATGGGCTGTACAAGGATCCCAGCCTGCTGCTTGGCAGGAGGGTCACTGAAAGCCCTATGGCCCAAGACAGAGCCAGGAGGGAAAAAATAAAAATAAAATAAAACAAAATACCCCCAAATTAAACCTGGATGGGCCTGGCAGCCGTTTCTAAGAGTTCACCCGGGTGCTGCAGCGAGAATGCAGCTCCCCGGCGCTCTCCTCCCGCGGATGGCTGAGCCGGGCTCGGCGGGAGCCTGGAAACGCGGAGCGGGACGCGCGAGCAGAAGGCCATAAATCCAGCGGCCGCTGCTGCGGAGCGATCCCGGCTCCAGGAAGCAGGTGGTCACAGAGAATAGCTCGCTTGTGTTGGAAGGGGTCAGGGATAAAACCCCCGGGAGCACCGTGGCCAGGAGGCCCTTTGTCAGGAGAGAGGCTATTGTCAGGCGCAGAAGGCGGCCGGAGGGCCGCAGGCCTTGACTAAACGGGCTGTTTTCATGCCAGGTTTTATTATTTTTATTATTATTAATACTATGTGAGGCAAGAGCTGCGGATCACAGTTCGCAGCACTTCTAAGAAATGTGAGTTGGATGGGAAATGCCATTTTTTAACCCCCGCCACCGCTGGACCGTGCCAACAAGGCAGCTGGGGATGGAGGTGGCTGCATGGAAGAAAACGTGGTTCCCTCGGGACCTCCCCACCTCCTTGGCAGCCTCCCTTTTCCCGGGAAAAGCCGGGATAGAGCATCGGCAAGCACGTGGGCTTTCCACGGAGAAGCGGCCGCGTGCCAGGCTGCCCCCCTGTCCCATCCCGGCCCATCCGGCCGGGGGGGACACAGGCCCCTGGCCCACATTCCTGGGCCGCTGTTTGTTGCCCTCCCGGCGGCCCGTTGCCGTGGCGACGCGGATTCCAGGCGCGCGGAGCCCCATTCCTGCAGGTCTCCTTGGAGGAGAGCCGGGCTCCCCCCCTTTCCTCGACGCTGGCGCTCGGAGCGGGGCCGGAGCTGCCCGAAAGCTCCGCTCGCCGCCTCCTCCCCGCTCCGCCGCCCCCGAGCTGCGCCGCGAGCCGTCGCTCCAGATGGTCCACGTTAAAATTCCCCATTTCTTGGTCGCTCGGCGTTTTTGCCTTCAGAAATGAAACACCGTGGATGTTGGCCGAGGGATCCCCCTGCCCGCGTTTCCAGGGTCCTCCTGAGCCCAAGGAGAGGTGCAGGAGGCGGTGGTCACCCTCAGCTCCACGAAACGCCACACCACACCAGCCTGTGGGCAAGGAAGTGTCTTGGAGATGCCAGCGGGTGGGCGAGAAGGGCTCCAAATTCACCCCTCTTAGCCAGGGGAGCAGCTCAGTTGATGTCCTGCAACTTAAGAGCTGGAGAAAGGGAATTTAATGCTTGGAAAACCCTCGTTTTGTTCAGCGATGGAGACACGAAGCACGTCCCGCTGGCTGCAGCGAAATGCAAAGATGTGCAGCAACGGGCAGCCCACGAGGGCCGCGCTCGCACGCGTGCACGTACCCACCAGGAAACCAGGGGGATCACGAAGAAGTAGCTGCAAACGTAACCTTCAGCTACGCACACTGCAGGGCACGGGAAACACAGCTGAAGCGAAGCAGGGGTGTAAATGCACCTTGGCTGGACACACCACGTTATGAAGTGCAATCCTGCTTTTGAAAGCTGCCAGCTCCAGCCACAGAGTTATCTGGGGTGAAAAATATTCTTTTTCCAACCACTTCTGCTGTCACACAATATCCCCCTCCACAGAGCGCGAGGGTATAGAAACGGGCCGGGCGGCCAAGCAAGCACTAGTCATAGGGTAGCTATGCTGGCGGATGGAATCACATTCAGCGGGATTACACCCAAGGCAAAGGATTCTGAGGGCTGGCGAGCGAATGCGAAAGCAGCAGCTCGTCCTGCTGGTTTGGGAGCACCGCGCTTCCAAGCTGCGCTTCAAACCCCTCCTCCTTGCAACTGGGAGCTGATACCAGCGCGATAAAACCAGCACACTACAGTCGTGCTTCCATACACCCCAAATTACCCATCGCTCACCTACCTCCAGAATTCCTCACTGGAATTATTTTATTGCCATCGTGCAAGTCCCTGTCAACCCTCCCCGTGCGCCTGGGACAAACCCTTCTGGTTGCACAGGCTTGTGTGGATTTCAAAATGAGTTTTGGAGTCACGTTAACCCTGCTGTTACTGCCGAGTACTTTCCTAGCGTCTGCAAAGTCAATTATGCAGATGTTTTGTGAAGAACTAACATCAATCTTGCGCTATCTGGGGGAGGATAAGGAAATGGTGCTGGCAGGAGGCTTGTTTAAAATTGCAAATATGTTTCCCAACCAGATTTCTCATCTTTTCTTCTAAACCTTAAGACTTCTCCTGCAATGGGTCAGGGCACAGGAGGGAAGAAGCACAGGACAACTGTGCGAGCTCTGGGTAGGACAAATCTGCCTCGGGTTGAGGGAAGGCTCCTTCCCCAAACGTCCAGCTTTCTGCTCTTCCGTGATTACTGCACTGCATTTTTGTGGTTGCAGTTTGGGGTCCAAGTCTCAGGCATTCCCCTCCTTAGCCAAATCCCTGAACCTTGAATGGAGCGGTAATTAATCGCCTAGTATAATGAGCAAGGTCATTTCAATACAGCGGGACGATGCAGCACCAGCAGTTATAGTCCCTGCAGGCACGAACAACTCATGGGACCTCCCGCAAGAAGCGCATCCTGTGCGAACACCTTCCCTGCTCCAAGCACGTTAGTCTACTCGACTCATTAAGATTTTATTCTCCAGCTTCCTTACAGCAGCTTATTTTTTTCTCTTTAAAAAATAATTTTAAAAAAGCAATTTTCACGTGGAAGGTCTGTGCAGGAGGCGGCTCCAGCAATGCCTGCAGCATCCCCTGCTGCCAGCACAGCGGATCGTCGCGGTGACACCAGTGCATCCTCAAGTAATTGCAGCGAAGCCGAGTCCCCGAAGCGAGTGGCAGTTCTGGAAAAGGTGCATTTCACAAAGCTGGAGAGACTCCAACCCCACCATGCCTTGGGTTTAAAAAAAAGGAGGGGGGGGAGCAGAAGCTTCAACTGTCCAACTAGGAATGTTGTGTCTTGTCCCTGAAACGCAGTAGATCTCATTCTCGGGTGACTTTTGAAGCCGTTAAAGTATTTGCTTTTAAGATGCCCGCTTTTTTCCTCCAAAGAGGAACCCATGAGGCAAATCCTGGCAACTCCGCATCGGCGCAGCTCGTGAGCACCCCCTAACGGCAGCCGGGCACATAAAAGCGAGCCAGCAGCCCCCCGGGCAGGTACTAAGGAATTAACCCGACGAAAAGCTGATGAACTGCGTAGGGTCCGAGGCACGAGCGGCCCCAAAAGCCCGCCCTGCTCTAGCGCACCTGGCCTGAGAGGGCTTCGCACTACCCACACAGCAGTCCAAAGGCAGCGATTCCCATCGCTAAGGCCATAGCCAACATTTGTCTCTCGTCTGCTCTTGGGACTCAAAGTGAAACGCCAGAAAACACCGTTAACAGCGAGACAGAACCGCGACGTAAAACCCCCGCCTCACG